AACATCTAGAAGATCTCAGATAAAAAGAGAAACATGCCAATATAAAGAAAGGGAAGGAACAACCAGCAAAAGAATGACTTGCAAGAGAAAAGGAAACATGTCATTGAAGAAAAATGGAAAGAGTAAGCAAAAGGAATGAAGATAAAGAAAAGGAAAAACAAATATGATGAAACGAAATGGAAACCCTATGCAGGAGGCTGAGCATAAATACAGAGGCGTGCACAATAGAAGAGATCACCCAAGGAGAGAGAGAGTCTTTGAGTCGTGAAAGCTTTGGGCATAAACATATTTGTATGGGAAACACGGGTGAGTGATACTTGAGATAGAGTGAAGTGTATCTGAGGGGGAGCCTTCAAATAACAGGCGAACCGCTCAAAGGGCCTAGACGAGTCTAGGGTTACACGGGGTGTGTGAGGCACACATAGTGTATGAGCTGATAGAATTCATGTTGTAAGGGGGGAACAAACTCAGGGGGAGTTGTGTTCTTGGGATGGATTAGGCTCGAACAAAAAAGAGTTGTAATTCATTTTCTTTACAAATGAATAGAATCAGTTGGGAAGTTTTTGAAAGCAATATCGTGTGAGTTTACTTTTTCAGAAAATTTCTAATTTAAATTGTTGTAACCATGGACTCTACATCATAGTTTATACAAGTCCTATGAACGGATGGACTATCCGATATTTCGCGGTATATTATAACTTATACTTAATATTTAGATATTCGATATTTAAATTGTAAGAATAATCGATAGATGTTAAACTATTGAATATCTAATACATTTTAATGTTCGTGGGCCGGTAATGATATCACAATGGTAATGGCCAGTGAAAACAAGTAGTTGAACACTAAGAATTCGACTAAACGATAGAAAATTAGATATAACCACAATTAATTTGGATATTGAATAAGTAAACATTTCAGTTATTTGAAGTTCTGTTTTTTCTTCTTCTTCTTCAGATTCTGTTATATGAGTTTTAGAAACCTATATCCATGTTTTATATGTTAAATTCAGTTCGGTTAAATGCTCTTCAATTTCGAGTTTTATTGATAATAATGCTCATTTTATAAAAAAAAAGTTATAATTTTTTGATTATTTTTATATTTGATTCATATTTGATTTTTCTGTTTTGAAAACATAATACCATTTGTTTTTTTATGATGGGTTATTCGGTTCAATTAGATTCGGTTATCACATAACAAAAAACTGTTTGCATCTCATACTAAAATTAGAAAAAAAAGGTCAATAAAAAAACACCTTTTTAACTTCAAAATTAATTTGATGTTAACCAAATTTGGATAAATTAACTGGTAAGAGATGATAAAATTTTTAAGACCGTCATTGGAATTTTAATCCAAAGATGTAAAACGAATTTATCCATCAGATAAAAGATAAAACAGATGATATGAAATCACATTCTCTAAAATCTTGAATCAACTCCTTACACTCATTCAAGTAAATGGTTTTCAAATCGATCGTTCCGTAATATTTTACCATAACAATTTATGTATTAATCAAACTGAATTAATAGATAAAAAAACAAACAAAGTATCTGATTTTCTTCCAAGTCACAACCAGTAAACCGTGCCATATATCAAAATCAGAAGATCGAACCATTGAATTCATTATCTAATTGAACGATCTTGATTATCGTCGAATCGATATCGTTGATCAACTGGTTTTGCAATGATAACGGGAACAAACAATGGTTTCGTAGTGTTTTGGCCTCGACTTGTTTATTTTTCCGGCGTCGGTTAGGACAAATTCTGATCAAGCATGGAGGATAAATAAATCAATTAAATATAAATAATATATAATTCAAATTTGTATATTAAGATAAAAAAGTTGATATTGCTCTTTTTTTTTACTAAACTGATGCCGTCAGCGACGAGGAACATGTACTAGGGTGTATGTGCGAGTATTTGTTTCGATAGAGAGAGAGAGAGAGCGTAGAATGTGAATGTACCACAAAATTACAATTATCCTTTGTTTGGTTCCGCGATTCCATCTAACGGTCGGGGACTCAATTCTATCCACATGTTCATAAACGACACGCATTGCAGCTCTGGAAATCGCAAACGTCATGATTATTCCTTACGTCGTGGTCCCCACAAACTTGGGAGAGGATCGTACGGATCCCCAGAGCCGACACAGAAGACGACACGCGCTCATAATCTTTCTGGAAGATTTGTAATAATAATTTCCTTTAAAATAAACTGATAAAAAACGACAAATAAAAGGTGGGATTTTTTTTTTAGGAGCGTTGGCATCAGAAAGCTTCGTATACACATCAACGGCTTATTTTTCAATTTCAGCACACGCGAATCGCTGTTAGAACAAGTTCCAAACTTTTCTACAAAAAATATAATCTTTATTTTTTTTCACGCAAAGAAACGGAATTTAATATGGAAGTTGAAATCGAGATGAGTGGTACGAGTCCTGTTGTTTTTCCTTTTTGGATTTTATCATCATCGATTTTGCTATTATTCTTGTTCTTCTTATTTTCTTCTTTTAATTTTACGTTTTTTCTCGATAATTTTGTTATCGAGGGGGCAAAGAAAAGGGATCGTCGGGGGTTTGTTCGTTTGTTCGTTTTGTCTTTGCGATAAGAAACCCTAGTTTTTTTGTTTTTCCATTTGATTGTTTTCTGGGTTGCGGCCGCTTCTGGGTTTCTTCTTCTCTGTTCGATCTTTGAAATCCTTGGTGGGTTTTCAATGGAGATCGGTTCTGATGGAGTGGATCAGATCACGAGCGGCGGTAATGGCAAGAAGAAGATCGACAATTCAAACGACGGTCTCTCCAAGCCCAAGCGTCAGATGAAGACTCCGTTTCAGCTCGAAACCCTGGAGAAAGTTTATGCAGGTTTGTGTTCATCAAAAGAATTCCTTGTTTCGCTAATCCGGTTCATGTGTTGGAATTCGATGTCGATATTTTGCGCTTTTCTTATTCTGTTCTCGGTTGGTCTGATTAGTGGAACCGTACCCGTCTGAGGCTACGAGAGCAGAGATGTCTGAGAAATTAGGTTTGTCGGATCGACAGCTTCAGATGTGGTTCTGCCATAGAAGGCTGAAGGACAAGAAGGATGTTCCGTCCAAGAAACAGCGGAAACCGGCTGCCGTTCAACCACCGGTTAATGAACTTCCTGTCAGATCGGTTCCTGAGCCGGAATCAGGATCTGGTTCGGGTTACAGCCCTTATTCGAATTCTGGGAAGAATTTCGCTAGTGGTAGTAGTAGTTCTCGAGCTGGGTCGGGAGATTATGGGCCAATAGGAAGGAGAAACCATGAGGCGAGGATATCTGTGGTGGAGCGTAGAGCTATTGCCTGCGTTGAGGCGCAGTTAGGGGAGCCCTTGAGAGAAGATGGACCGATTCTTGGGATGGAATTTGATCCATTGCCCCCTGATGCATTCGGAACACCTATAGGTATATTGCATTTTGCGCTTTCTTATTATGCTACCAGTAGAGATAGTTTTGTGTTTCACAATTGCATTTTGTGTCATTAGCTCATTATGAGATGGTATTTAGGCATCAAGCAGATGGAAGCAGCATGCTTAAGTTCATTGTCAATAATGTGGTTAGTGTGCTTATATGATGGTTTTCATTTTCTGGGACCATTGATCATGAAGTTCGGTTCCTGGTTTACTCTATGGGATAGTCGAGTTCTTCCTTGTTTAGTTTTTTTTTCCTTGAATTGGGTTCTTTAAACTCCGCCTGGACATGGGTTATTTCGTGTCTTGTCGGTCCCAAGCCCGGATAAAAGAGGAGGGTTTTGCGGTAGGTGGCAACCAGCAAACTCAAACCTATGCCATATCTCATATGCAATGAATCCAAATCTTGGGAATGAGGCGATGTTGATGTCTGAATTGGGTTCTTTCCCACTGTAATTCATTTGTTTTCTGATATGTACCAAAATTTCCAGAGATGCAGAAGCGTTCGGTTCATCCGTACGAGAGCAAAATGTATGAGCCTCAAGATGCCAGATCTTGCAGAGTTAGTTTTCTAACTAAAGGAAATATGCTCTTTTTTATTTCTCTATCTCTAGGTATTTGTCCTTCCATCAGAGATTAGAAGGGCTGTCAAGTTATATAGTTTTACTTAATGTTAATAGGAAAATTTCCTCTTTTCACGATAATTTCTGTGTTTAGTTATTGTTCTGGCATCTTGCTCCCTTATTTCTGAACTGGTTATCATTTATTTCATGAACTTAAGTACACAGCCATCTCTGACATATCAGTTGGAACTTGAAAGAGATTCTATAAATTGTTGTATAGGGGAACCATTAAGACTTTTCATTGCATATAGGTTGATAATTCAGCCTGATCAGTGTATTCGATAATTCTATTTTATCTTGTCACTGGCAAAATTGCACTTCTGTTTCATTCGTTGTGGTTTCTTGTTGCCGCACTTTGTTGAAATTAGTTTGTTTGTTAATCTTAGTCTCAAGCTGCTTCCCATTCTATCCATGAGCAACCATCTAAGGATGATCCATCGTCCTTTATACCCGAGGTGTATGGACGATATTCTGAAATTCGCGCTCATGGTATGGAGTATGATAATACACTGGCTAGAAGCTCATCATTTCTGCAAGGGAATGGACATTTACCCACGTCTCGTGGTATCCATGGAAACGTGGCTCGTAACCGTTCTACATCTCGACAAACCGTGAGAAGCCCTTTTATTTCATCAGTTATTGATGATGAGAATGTCATGCTAGAGAAATACCCGTTTGATCTGGAGAGAGAAGATCCTTATAGTGATGTACATAGGAAGGGAAAGGTAGCTTCTGGTGCCAAGGCCTATTCCTTTTCTTTCATCATTGTTGTGTTCTTCTCTTTAATTTATCTTCTGCTTACTTTTGCAGGTTGATGAAGTTAGACTTGCAAGGGAAAGTGAAGCCCGGGACAGTTGTGCACGAAAAGAGATTCAGAGGAGAAAGGTACTTATATCCCCTTTATTAGGAGGAATCTTGTATGCATGCTTTAGTCCTCCCTGTTATATACATATATAATCTGAAGATTGTATCCTCAGAATGAAGAACACATGAGCAAAGAAATAGAAAGACATGAACGTGAGAGGCGTAAAGAAGAAGAGAGGTTGATCCGTGAAAGACTAAGGGAGGAGGAAAGATCACAGCGTGAACAGAAACGTGAGATGGAAAGAAGAGCGAAGTTCTTACAGAAAGAACTTGAAAGGGTAACTTTGAAAACTATATCAGTTATTTTTCTATCGTGTTTTAGAAACGTTCTACAAAATTGAGTAAATTTTGTGACAGCTTGTATGGAAAATGACAATTTATCACTCGGTTGGACTGTCTAAAGGTGGAGAAAAAGAGGCAAAAAGAAGAGCTTCGTCGGGAGAAAGAATCCATGAGACACAAGATTGCCATTGAGAAGGCCACTGCACGCAGAATTGCTAAAGAATCTATGGATCTAATTGAGGATGAGCAGCTAGAACTGATGGAACTGGCTGCTGCTAGCAATGGATTGCCCTCGATTTTACAGCTTGATCATGACACACTGGAAAACCTTGAATTGTTTAGAGGTAATGGTCTCTTTACAAAACCTTGAACTGCTTCAGCTAATAAAGATCTGTTAGTCAGAATCCTTTGGACTATTTATGATGTAGATTTGACGAGTTCTCTTGAAAGAGACGAATTTTCATCCTTTCTCTTATCCAAAGCATGATTATAAGTCCTTTGCTAATTAATTGAATTTCATATTTCCTTGTGCAATTTGTGTACTTTCTTCTTGCTAGACCCTGTAAATAACCCTGTTTTGTTTGTTTTCTAGATTCTTTGAGCTCATTTCCACCGAAATCTGTGCAACTGAAAAGGCCATTTTCCATTTCACCATGGAAGGATTCTGAAGAAAATGTTGGGAACCTTCTCATGGTATGCACTATTGGTCATTACTGGTTTTATATAGCCTCTCATTTACAGCTGATATCTTCACAGAAACTCAGGAAGAGACCTTTTAGCCAAATTGGAGATCACGTAGGTTTCTTTTTCTGTCAATATGTATCTTTTCGTGTAGCTGTGGTGCTTGATATGGTGGATTCTAAAATTTTTAAAGCTTGAAGTTAATGTAGCTTATGTTTATAGGTTGCCCAGCATTTGTTTTAGTTATCTCGTTCGTTTGTCATGTCATGAAATTCTTGTTTGAGATTTCTAGTTTCATTGTTACTTTTCAGGTTTGGAGATTCCTAATAGCTTTTGCTGATGTTCTTGGACTATGGCCTTTTACCCTGGGTGAGTTCATTCAAGCTTTTCATGACTATGTAAGTCTTTCATTGGTACTTCGGTTTGGGGTTCCCCTATTTTCGTTTTTTTTTCATTTTTTCTTTGTATGTGACACCCTTGTGGTGGGACCCTTTTCCGGACCCTCGCTCAATGGGGATGTTTTGTGCAACGGGCTGCACTTTTTCTTTGTATGTGACTTAGATGCTATTTTAGGATTCAAGATTGCTGGGGGAGATACATGTCGCTCTTTTGAGTTCTATAATTCGGGATATCGAAGATGTTGCTAGAACACCTTTTACTGGATCAGGAATTATCCAATATACTGTCGCCAATCCTGAAGGTGGACACCCACAGCTAGTGGAAGGGGTAATTTGCATTTGTTTCGATATGGTAGAACCTTTCGCCTTCTGGGTTCTTTCAATGAGGCTTTATTTGTATCTATTTGTCTCTCTATGATTCAGGCATATGCATGGGGCTTTGATATTCATAGTTGGCAAAAGCGTTTGAGTCCATTAACATGGCCTGAAATATTGCGGCAGTTGGCACTGTCTGCTGGATTTGGGCCTTGGCTGAAGAAAAAAGGTTCCTGGTTGTCCTTCTTGGGAGACAAGGATGAGGTAATTATGCATTCTTTTTATACCGTTGAATCCTAGTTAATCTGGTTGAGAATATATTGGTATTGCTATGCATGGACACGATATATGCTTGTTGTATTCAACAATGCACAATATGTTTGAGACGAAAGGATGGTATGGATAATAAATCCAGCTCTTGTGGTATAATGATGCCTGTCCCGCTCTGGTTAGCTGTCAATGCATCTGCTCTGCTATAACTCTATGAAATTGATACAATTGACGAGAAACAGATGAATCTGGTTGTTGTGGCGTGGGTAATTAACCCAGTTCATTGGTAATGATGTGTGATAGGTTAGTTGTCAATGATCACCTCTGCTCCGCTGGTAATTACATGACTTTGATCTCGAAGCGATTAATTTTTGTGCGTATTGAAAGGTTTGAAAAACGGTTTTCATTGATTAAAAAAATTCCTCGGAAATGTTGAGATGTAAAAAATCATGTGCTTGCATTGATCTTTTCGTCATGCTAATATTAGATTGAGATTTTGGCCTTTTGTGTTTTCTTGCTTGTCTATCTAGTAATGGTGATAGAAAAGCATACTTCCGTTATTTTGGGTGACAAATTATTGTTTGATGAGGACTGGCTCTGATATCCATAGCCTATTTTGTGGCCTAAGACGTGAAGAAGCTAGATGTATTTCGTTATCTTATACATCCTTTTGGGTATGATTGAATACAGGTTAAAGCTTGTGAAGATATAATATCTACTATCCGCAGTGGTTCAGCTGCTGAAAATGCTTTTGCATTAATGCGAGAAAAGGGATTGCTCCTTCCACGAAAGTCAAGACATCGGTTAACTCCTGGAACTGTCAAATTTGCCGCCTTTCATATTCTCTCCCTTGAGGGAAGCAAGGGACTGACGGTATTAGAACTTGCAGAAAAGATTCAGGTACATCTGCATTTTTTCTGCAGTTTCGGTTTAACCCTATATTTTATTTACATAATTCTTTTATTTACATAGTTTTTATGGTCTCCCTCTGGAAGGAATCCGGACTCCGAGACTTGACGACAAGCAAGACACCAGAGGCTTCAATCTCCGTTGCTTTGACTAGAGATATCAAACTTTTTGAAAGGATAGCTCCTTCGACCTATTGTGTACGAGCTCCTTATAGGAAGGACCCTGTGGATGCTGAGGCAATTCTCATCGAAGCTAGGAAGAAGATAAGGGCTTTTGAAAATGGATCTACAGGTGTGGAAGATGTTGAAAGAGATGAAGGCTCTGAAGGTGTTGCTGATGAGGATCCTGAGGTTGATGACATATCTGTTACTCCGGCAAATGCTTCAAAAAATGCTGATGACTTGGGCGAAGAGAACGTTTTGTCTGCAAATGGGAAAGACGATATGATTTGTGGTGTTAAAGCGGATATAAAGAATGGGATTAAGAAGGATTTGTCTTGTCTTCCTTCAAGCAGTGTTAAGAATGATGTTGTGCAAACCTGCTTGGATAATAAGAATGTTGAGGTCGAAATCAACCAGGCCCATTCGTGGATTCAAGGTCTTACAGAAGGGGATTATTGTCATCTGAGTGTTGAGGAGCGACTGGATGCCCTCGTTGCTTTAATTGGCATTGCCAATGAAGGGAATTCAATCCGAGCTGTTCTTGAGGTAAAAGCTTGTGTTTTATATTTATCAGTTTTCTCTTTGGGAAGAGAAGTTCCAGAATTTTTGTCCCTGTAATCTGTATTTCACTTGAAACTATTTCAGGAGCGTATGGAAGCAGCAAATTCTCTTAAAAAGCAAATGTGGGCAGAAGCACAATTGGATAAGAACTGCATGAGAGACATAATGAAGCTCGATTTTGAGTACAGCAAAACTGAACCAAGGATGCCTCAGCACATTATCCAAATTCCTGCTAATGAGAGGAATAATATCAACATAGAGCCTACCCAGTCTACAGATGAACAGAAGCCTCTGGAAATGGTTTCAAATGATCGAACCTTCGTTACTCAGAACACTGATATGGGTCATGACAATTTTGCTTCTCAACATGGATATGCGTCAAAGAGATCACGTTCACAATTGAAATCATACATTGGCCAGAGATCAGAAGAGATATATGTTTACAGGTCTTTGCCACTTGGACAGGATAGACGGCATAATCGTTATTGGCAGTTTGCTGCATCATCTTCTAGAAATGATCCTTGTTCCGGGCTTATATTTGTTGAGCTACATGACGGGAAGTGGCGGCTCATTGATACAGAAGAGGTAATAATGGGTTTATCTGCTCTCTTAGACAATTACATGTCCTCTGGAAAGCTAAAGGGTCATAAGATAACTAAAGGCCGATCAAAATTGCTTTTTTTTTTCTGGCTAAAATTTTCTAGATCCTTTAACATGGTAAAAAGTTGCCATTTACTTACTCAGATAAGTTTGCTATACTGAGTTATTCTTGCTGGGTTTGATTTGAAAGTGGGTCTCCAGTTGCTAATACCTAGCTTCCACATGTGTTTTGACTATATCTTGTTTATGGTTTTGTTTTGAATAGGCGTTTGAAGCTCTTGTTACATCGCTGGATATGCGTGGGATTAGAGAATCCCATTTACGCATAATGTTGCTGAAGATAGAGGGATCATTCAAAGAGAATGTTCATTACAATTTTCAGCTTGCTAGAAATCACTGCTTGAAGGAAAAGGGTGTCGAGAATGAAGCGGCTGAAATGAATTCCAGTCCCGATTCCTCTGCTGATTTCGACAGTCCTTCCAGTGCACTACTATGTGGGTCAAACTCTGATTCAGTGGAAACTTCAAATTCTTTCAGAGTTGAGCTCGGGAGAAATGATACTGAAAAGAAGAATTTACTGCAACGGTACCAAGATTTTCAGGGGTGGATGTGGTCAGAATCTTTTAAATCACTACTTCCTTTCGCTAGGAAACACGGAAAGAAGAGATGTGATCAACTGTTAGAACATGGTGCAGAGAGAATGCTATGGGATTCCACTGGTACAGGTTTGGTGGAATCTCCTCTTCCTGTTGGGGTTAGTTTGCTCAAGGCTCTACTTGTTTTTCTCGAGGTAAACCATATAAACTCGGTCCAGTTTCGATATCCTCACAGAGTGTTTGGCATTGATTTCTTTCTTACCGGCTTTGGCAACTTAACAATTTCAATTTTTTTCTCAGGCATCTATTCCAGATGAGGCTCTTGAATCATTCTGGACAGAGGAGGAAAGGGAGAAGTGGGTACTTGAGCTAAATGCTTCATCATCTCCTGAGGATCTCATCCAGGTTTATACTATATTTCTTTCTCTAAAAGTTATTTTAAGACCCTTTGCTCTCTATGATCTGAAGCTACTTCTTTATCCAACATATCGAAGAGATCTTCACTTCATGCCGTTAAATAAGTTTTTTTCTTGGAACAGTTTTCATCCTGTGATGATAACCACACATGTAACATGTTAATATCAACATCTGTTAAGGCTTCTCAATTCCCATTTTCATCATGTGATGCCTAAGTTCAGCATATCCACTGTGTTTGCTTGCAGGTGGTGACTCTCTTGGAGAATGCAATCAAGGAGGAGTATTTGTCATCTGATATTGTGACGGCAAAAGAGCTCTTGGGAGCTGCTTCTGGTGATCAAGGATCGGTCTCTGTTCTTCCATGGATTCCTCAGACAGTATCAGCTGTTGCTTTGAGAATATCAGAGCTTGACGCTTCCATCCAATACATAAAGCATGAGAAACCCGACATAACCCTGGCAGATGAAGACGAGGAGATTGTAAGTTTTTTCTCTGTCATTCTCTTTCTGTGTTCCACGTCTGTAACTGTTCAAAGCTTGACTCGGAATCTGTCATGGGTGTGATGAATCTAACTCTCTTCGTTTTATGCAGAGGCTTCCTTCTGGAAACTCCCCTTTCAAGAGCAAAACGATCAAATTTCTAGATGATCGAGATGAAGCGATGAGGGAAGAGGTTTTCATGGGCAAACGAAACAGCAAACGTGGACGAGCGAACTGTGATCCTGGATCAAGCAGAAAGGTGAAGAGAAAGAAAAGACGGGTCGGACCCAACAGATCCACCATTGTTGGGAGAAATGCTGAATCGATGCCCCTTCGGTTGGCCCAAGAGGGTGCGGAAATAAACAGCCACCAGACAGGTGGACGAGGAAGAAGAACAGTTAGAAGACGACCAGAGAGAAGAATCATCGATGACAGAGTAGCCGACATTGTTATGCCTCGAAACGAGGAAGAAGAAGAAGAAGAAGAAGCAACACAGAGAGAAATGGAGGAGGAATGGGTGATTAAAGAAGACGAAAACGCTCATCATCCCGTCGACTACAGTCGGAGAGATTGGGGATCGGATGGGAACAGTAACCCTAATGAAGCAAGCGTCGAAGAAAAAGAACGAGATGAAGAGTATGAAGGGATTGGACCGTCAGCCATGGCTCTAGAAGAAGAAGAAGAAGAAGCAGAGACGAGCGAAAGCTCTGATGAAAATGGCGTACCGAACAAGACATGGGAGGAATTCGGCATAGAATCAGAGGATTACAGCAGTGATTCATGAATCTGATGGAGATGGCCACAGGCTTGGATCAGGTATGAATATCATATAGGGAAAAATGGTTTCAAATGATCGAACCTTCGTTACTCAGAACACTGATATGGGTCATGACAATTTTGCTTCTCAACATGGATATGCGTCAAAGAGATCACGTTCACAATTGAAATCATACATTGGCCAGAGATCAGATTCGGGGGTTTGGTTAAGGGATCTGGCATCTACTACTATACAAGGATGTATAAGCGAAGATGCCTCATGCTTCTCCATGAAAATACGAATCAATGAAATAATTCTTCAAATACAGAGTGATAGTCTACTTCCTCCATGATTTGTTTGTATATACGTTTACGTATACGTATGTATATATTAGTTGATGAGGTGCATATTTAAAAATCAGGTAACTATATATATATATATACACACACACATTGTTTTAATTAAATGGTGATTTATTTATTGTAGGATTATTATGGCTTCAATATGAGATTTGGATGCGCCAATTAATTTTCATGCATGTTCACTTCACATGAATCACATGGGGCAGTTGATGCTGTCAATCTTTGCTCTCGCATAAAGAGCAAATTTTCAAAAATAATAATATATATATAGTGAAAAAGAAAGATTTACAACTTTGTTCCTTTTACGTAATTTATAAAAAAAATAAAAGCTTCTTTTACCCAACCAAAAGGTAGTTTAAGAAAGTGGGAGAAGGTTGGGTTGAAAATAAAATAAGAATAAAATCAAATTAATTAATCAACTAATTAAGCGATGCTTAAGGGGGTAATTATGATTCCAAGGTCGGAAACTGGCCCAAATGAGGTGGACTGACCATTCCCTTCTAGATGCTTATTTTTTTTTTCCTCGAATTGAATGCTTTTTTCCTATTATGTAAGTCATAAACAAAATTTTGGGTAACCAATGTTCAGACTAAAAATCAACGGTATAATTTAGAATATACGTTTCCTCTCTAAATTTGAGATTCGAATTAGGGACAGAATATACGTTTTACGTTCGTATTTTACCGGTTGAACTATCCAAATTAAGATATCTTTAAGAAATTGTATATGGGAATGAACATTTTTCAAGGACAATATATTGTTATTACAACCGATCATTACATAAGAGGACATTTTTTATTTTTATTTGTATTTTTATGCTTTGTGACCATGATTTATAAGTTGCAAAAAAAATGGAAATCAACCCAATGGCACAAAAAAACATGCTATAATTCCAAAAAGAAACCATGGTATATTAGGTGATCTAATCATCTCCAAAGTAATTTTGAATAAAAAATAAAAAAGAAAAAAAATAATGATTAGGACATTTTAGGATTTGATAAGGCCCCACAGATCCTTAAGGCATGTCGTGGATGCTTCAAAAAGTTATGGGTAGAACCACAAGAAAGGATAATTGCAGATTTCCAAAGGAGAATATCTGCAAAATAAAGTTTTTGTTTGGATTATTAATATTATTGCTTATAATATTTTTATTTTATTCGCTCAAAGAAATCATGGTTCTCTTTTGGCATATCGTTTATTTAAAATATGTTATCATGGTTCAACAAAAATATGCTTGGGACACACATTAGTTATCCAGATTTTGACATTCATTATCCAGATTTCGAGTTTTTTTTATATAATATAGTAAAGGGTTTTTAAAAAGGTAAAAAAAATTAGTTTCAGCCATCTTCAATAATTAGAATGTAAAAACTGATCAAACATTTTTGAATTTTTATAAATACCGTATTTATATAAAATGTAAATAAGTAAAAACAAAAAGGTTAATTTAAATAACTAAAAGTGATGCTATTGCTCCACGTAAAAAATAATAAGTAAAAAGTTTGTTGAGGTTAAAATTAAAAATATTTATAAAATATATATTTTTAGTTTTTTTTTTTTGGTATTAGAGCGGTCATATCTTGGGTTACACAACGGTTAAAATGCCTGGCGCGTGACACAACGCTCACACAAACCACGCTACGCACACAACGAGACACAACACGACGAACGTGTTTTTTTTATAAAAATAAAAATAAAAATAAAAATACAGATACAGATACAAAGAAAAATTTAAAAAAAAAATAATTGCAGCGGGAAAGAGCCGCATTATTATTGTATCGAACAGGGAGACATAGAAACTGCATGCCGTTTCTTCGTCAGCCCCTATGCTCGATGAGGCGACCGACCGACGCGATGTTTCGAACTTTGGCCTTTTTGGTCATCCTTTTTGAAAAATCTGAATTTCCCATTCACCTTTACTTTTTTTTTTTGTATATATTTTCAGCTATTAAAAAAGAAAAGAAAAGTGACTTTATTCTGTTCATAATGCTCCTACAGACTAATTTTTTTTACGAGTGAATTTCAATTTTATTATTTAAATTAAAGATATGTCTAGTTTCGTCTAAAATTATACACATTGTTTCAAGATTAATTTGGAGTTTTTGTTAATTATTATGAAATAAATGAAATGTAAGGAAAAAAAAGAATAAGTAAATTGATATCATAGAATGGTTCTTTCTCCTTTCATTGATAGTTCACAATCGTACAGCAAACGCATCTCGATTTCCCATGCTTCCTTGGGACTACTTAATCATGTTTCTAAATTAATCATATTAAACAAATAACATATTTGCATATATATATATATATATATATATATATAATAAATGCATATTTTACAAAAAATAATAACAAAAATATCAAGAAGGTGCTTTTTTAATAATACGGAAATTCACGGGTTATAAAGTTTTGTACATATATACTATGTTTGGACAATGACAATTTGGAAGTTGGAAAATGACCTATGTAATTATTAATTTTTAGTTTCGGAATTATTATGCATTTTTAACCTATGTTTAATATGGAATTTTTCCATGTTTTTGTTAAGAGTTCTAGTATTTTATAATTTACATTTTTGATAATTTGGTTTAAGCATCAAATAATAGTCAGCTGATAGAAAGGCAATTTTTAGAGTGGGCCCCGCACATAAAGATTTCGTACTTAGTTATTTGCTTAGGGAAATGTACCATATGATACGGACATTAATTTTGAATATAGATGCTATTAATAGGATAATATAGATTTATCTAACTGTAGTAAATGCCATTGGGATCAGTCAAGCTATTGTATATAGTAATTAATACAACAAATTTTTATCAATTAGTAAGACCAAAGAATGTATTTTTTAGGTATTTTTAATAAATTGATGTATTTATTTTAAAATTTCCCTATAAAACAATTATTATAAAATATATTTTTATTCAGAAATATGTAAACATTCAATGTATGTAAAAAAAATTCACATTATATTCTTCTTTTCTATTCATTAATAGAGTAGACAAATATAAGCAAAAATATTAGATGCGATTTGTATTATGCGTGTATTAGAGATTTGATGTCACACTATTAAATCCCATGTATTAATTAATAGGAATAATATATATCCGTTTGCAAGAAAAATACATTTATTATGTATTAGTAAATATACCTTAGAACCTAATTAAAGATTAAAAGAACAAATCACAGAACTATGTTTTAAAATATTGTATCATCATCATTCGATATGTATCAATCGAGAAAATAAAATAAAAATACTTAATATTAACATAATTATTCCAAACTAATTATAAATCCAAAAAAAAATAGAAACTAAATGATAATAAAGGCTATGATTTTGTCTTTCACGGTCTCTATAATTTCTCCGTCAAAATCATTCTGGTCAACCATCTCTGGTGCGTGTCTATATCAGTATACATATATATATGTATATGTAGTTCAGCTCACTTATCTTCCCACTTCGCCGCAGCTCCGCCGTCTTCTCCACCGCCGGAAAGCGGCCATTGTTGTGAAAACGAAGATGAATCTTCTCCTTGTACTCTTCCTTTTCCCCGTAGTTCTCTCTCTTAACCAAGATGGTCTCATTCTCCAGCAGGTGAAGCTCTCTCTCCACGACCCTGACGCTTCTCTATCTTCTTGGAATCCTGACGACGTGTCTCCTTGCCGGTGGTACGGCGTTTCCTGCGGTGGCTCCGGAGACGTTACCTCCGTCGACCTCTCCAGCGCCAACCTCGCCGGACCTTTCCCTTCCGTCATCTGCCGTCTCTCGAGCCTCTCTTTCCTCTCCTTCTTCAACAACTCCATAGACTCGACTCTTCCTCTCGATGTCGGGGCATGTCGGAGCCTCGAGCATCTCGATCTCTCCCAGAATCTTCTCACCGGTGAGCTTCCGTACACCCTCGCCGACCTCCGTGACTTGAAGTACCTCGATTTGACCGGAAATAACTTTTCCGGTGATATTCCGGCGAGTTTCAGTCAGTTTCAGAAGCTCGAGGTTCTGTCTCTTGTCTACAATCTCTTGGACGGGACGATCCCGCCGTTTCTCGGGAACATCAGCTCTCTGAAGATGCTCAACCTGTCGTACAATCCGTTCAGTCCCGGTAGGATCCCGCCGGAGCTCGGAAACCTATCAAATCTCGAGGTTCTGTGGCTCACAGAGTGTAATCTGGTCGGCGAGATCCCCCACTCACTGGGTCGACTCGGTCGACTCGCTGATTTGGACCTCGCACTGAACAACCTGGAGGGTCCTATCCCGAGTTCGCTTGGCGGGTTGATGCGTATCGTCCAGATTGAGCTCTACAACAACTCGCTGACCGGGAAAATCCCGCCGGAGCTGGGGAATCTGAAGTCGCTGAGACTCCTCGACGCGTCGATGAATCGTTTGACTGGCTCAGTACCTGACGAGCTTTGCCGGGTTCCATTGGAGAGCCTGAATCTCTACGAGAACGATCTCGAAGGTGAGCTCCCTTCGAGCATAGCACTATCGCCAAACCTTTACGAGCTCAGGATCTTCGGAAATCGCCTCATCGGCGAGTTACCCAGAGACCTCGGCAAAAACTCGCCGTTGAAATGGCTTGACGTGTCAGAAAATTGGTTTTCCGGCGAGTTACCGGCGACCCTGTGCGAGAATGGTGAGTTGGAGGAGTTGCTGATGATACGCAACTCGTTTTCCGGCCAAATACCGGAGAGTCTTGGCAATTGCCGGAGCTTGACCCGGGTCCGGTTGGGACACAACCGGTTCTCGGGTCCAGTCCCTGTCGGATTCTGGGGATTGCCCCATGTTTACTTGCTCGAGCTCATCAACAACTCCTTCTCCGGAGAAATCTCGAAGTCTGTGGCAGGTGCATCTAATATCTCTCTGTTGATCATATCGAACAATGAGTTCAATGGCTCGTTTCCTGAGGAAATCGGGTTCTTGGGCAATCTTAATCAATTGTCGGCGGCCAGCAACAAGTTCAGTGGCTCGTTGCCTAGTTCCATGGTGGAACTTGAAGAATTGAGTATTCTTGATCTTCATGGAAACCAGTTTTCAGGGGAGTTGCCGCTTGGAATCAAGTCCTGGAAGATGTTGAACGAGTTGAACTTAGCCAGTAACCAGTTTTCTGGCAGAATCTCTGATGAGATTGGGAATTTGTCTGTCTTGAACTATCTTGATCTCTCTGATAATCGGTTTTCTGGTGAAATCCCACTCTCTTTGCAGAGTTTGAAGCTAAACCAGTTGAATTTGTCCAATAATCGGTTATCGGGAGAGATTCCTCCATTCTTGGCAAAAGAAATGTACAAGAACAGCTTCCAGGGAAATCCTGATTTGTGTGGCGACTTGGATGGATTGTGTGGCCGCAAGAGTGAAGCTAAGAACAAAGGCTATCTATGGCTTCTTAGGTCGATTTTCATATTTGCAGCGTTTCTGTTCCTTGTCGGTGTTGTCTGGTTCTACTTAAAGTACAGAAATTTCAAGAAAGCAAGAGCCGTGGAGAAATCCAAGTGGACGATAATGTCGTTCCACAAACTGGGTTTCAACGAAAACGAAATTCTTGAAAGCTTAGACGAAGATAATGTGATCGGAACTGGATCTTCTGGTAAAGTGTACAAGGTTGTTCTTACCAGTGGCGAGGAAGTTGCGGTCAAGAGACTATGGACAGGAACCATAAAGGTGACAGGAAACTGTGATGCAGAGAAAGGACAACAACCTCGGCTCCAAGATGAAGCTTTCGAAGCAGAGATTGAGACATTGGGTAAGATCAGACATAAGAACATTGTAAAACTCTGGTGTTGCTGCATCACTAGAGATTGCAAGCTCTTGGTTTACGAGTACATGTCCAATGGTAGCTTAGGGGATTTGCTGCATAGCGGTAAAGGAGGATTAATGGGTTGGGAGACAAGGTACAAGGTTATCTTGGACGCAGCCGAAGGGCTGTCTTATCTTCACCATGATTGTGTTCCTCCGATCGTTCATAGAGATGTTAAGTCCAACAACATTTTGATCGATGGAGATTACAGTGCAAGAGTTGCTGATTTCGGAGTGGCTAAAGTCGTTGACTTGGCTGGCAAGGCACCTAAGTCCATGTCCGTTATCGCTGGTTCCTGCGGTTATATCGCACCAGGTTAGTCAGTTCGGTTATTCTCTTTTCGGGTAAAAGTAGAAAACTTTTCCAGTGATTCATCTGTGTCTGGTTATGGCTGGAAAACATAATGCACATCATGTTACAGGACTTTAGGTCATTTACCCACCCATATAACATATTCCAACCGAAACAAGAACAAAACTTTCCAGATTTTTGTAGTAAAAGTTTTCAACTTCAGTTGAGAGATCTAATCTAGCATTCATTCCATTACTATGTCGATCTCGGATTTGAATTCCCCTCCTTAACCGATCTTCAATCTTCTCGCAGAATACGCATACACACTTCGGGTGAACGAGAAGAGCGACATATACAGTTTCGGGGTCGTGATCTTAGAGATAATAACTAGGAAACGACCGGTGGATCCTGAGCTAGGGGGGAAGGATCTGGTCAAGTGGGTCTGCAGCAAACTGGAGGAAAAGGGCGTGGATCAAGTCATAGACCCGAAACTCGAAACCTGTTTCAAGGAACAGATTGGCAAAGTCCTAAGCATAGGACTCCTCTGCACGAGCCCTTTGCCCATCAACCGCCCCTCGATGAGAAGGGTCGTGAAGATGTTGCTAGAGGTAAATGGCCAAAACCATCTCAAGGACGGGAAATTTACTCCTTACTACTGCGAAGAAGACGCCTCAGATCAGGCAAATGTGGTCTGAAACTGAAAGTGAGAACCACTCTCTTTCTAAACCTTTCTCTCTCTCTCTATAATATATATATACATATACATATATGAAATCGACTGAAACAAAGCTCTCCAATTTTTTTTGGCTCTTAAAGTTTGTGACTTTTGGGCAAAATTATGGTGATGCCCCACTTGGGGTTTTTGCTCTGTTGCTTCAGGAGAATAGTGTGTAAAGTTTTTGCCTTTGAAATACCGACGTTTTGCTGCAGATTTTCTTTGACACTTCACCAAATTCCAATGTTTTGTTGGTCCCTGGCTAAAATCAAGGATTATTAATAGTGTTTGTTAAAACAAACGCATCTCAATACATGGTATAAGTTCTGTAAGATGCTGCCTTTGAGGCTTTGATCCTATAATTGGCTTTTATGTAATTTGATTATATTATGTCTCTTTATGCACTTCCACATTTCATACACATAAAATATGTTGTTAATTCGAATACCATAGACAATATAAGGTCTAATATATCTTATACAGATATAATATACAGAAGATCTAACATATCTCAACATAACCAATAATCAAATTAGATAGGATGATGTTTTAGAGATATTATTTTTCAAATTAATTAATTCCAATATTAAAATGAAAACCAAATATGTCGAACAATTAATTAATTCCAATATTAACATGAAAACCAAATATGTCGAACAATTGCACACGATTATATGTGTGTGTATTATATTGTAGAATTTCAATGTTAGTTTTATCATTTAATTTGTGAATTTTTCCATTTAAGTGTTTGTGTGTGTGTATATATATATATAATTAAGAAAAATAATATTTTTTTATTAAGGTTACCTTTTTGCAGTTAACAAAAAAAAAAGTTACCTTTTTGCAATTTGAGTTATGGAATTTTATATATATGGATAATGTTTGCGAAACTAACTATGGGCCGAAATTGGGCTTTATGATAGGCCTTGATGGAAGGCATATTTTTATATAATATCGCCCGCTGAGGATTTAGTATGTTTTATAATAAATCTTATCTTCAAAAACAACGGCCCATAAGATAGGCCCAATTAACTAATATGGACCAGACGTTTTCTACCCTTTGGACCCAATTAATAACTATGAAACAGATGTTTTTGGTTACTATTAAAGAAATTTTTTTTAAAAAAAAGCTGAATAAAAACCTAAAAACTTATAAATCATTAAAATATTTTTCTAACCACATTGGAAAAAACCATAGCTACCGTCACCGATGGCGTCAACTCAATTATCATATTGTCCCGTATAAAACAATATCACATTTTTTATATATATATTTTAAGGAATATCATCTTAACACCACTCAATGCGTCATGATTGATCAACTATGAGATTAAAATTAATATATACACATTGAAGACACAAACACGTGGCGAGTTTTCAGCCTCACGAACTGTTTATATATTTAAAATATATAGTTATAAATCAATTTAATATATATTATCGGTTGAAAATTTACCACTATTTTAAAATATTATGTAAATTTTTTTAAAAAAAAATTAACTATTACTTTCTCTTTCAAATCAAATACAAAATTTTAAAAATATATAAATAAGATTAAATAAATATACAAAAACAATAAATTTATAAGTATGAATAAAAAATTGCTTAAAATAAAAATCATAATATCTATATTTATATATCTTTAATTTTGTTGGCTTTAGTTTTTTGTATTTGATTATGATTGAATATTATAAAATATGGTAGATTATATTTATTGATATTTTTTTAGAAAATTGTGAAAAAAAACAAGAGATGGAAAATAAAGGGTAAAAAAAATAGAGGACATAATCTAGAAAAAGGGGAGAGAGGCAAATAAAAGAAAAAAAGAATGGGGATAAAAAAATTCAGGAGACTTTTTTTTTCGGTAACCAAAAATCAAAATTCAGGAGACTAGTGGAGGAGGCATTGAACATTATGTTTAAAATTTTATTAAATTTGTAAATAAAAAAAATTAGTTAGCTAGATGGGACAATTGACCCC